TATATATTAAAAATAAGCATATATTTTCATATTAAAAAGCCTTTTTGCATTAAATTATATTTTTGTAACATAAAAGATGGGTGGGCTTTAGATTGGTAACCCCGGAGTACAGCATTAAGGAAAATATGGGAGGTAGAGGGGGGTCTAATAGTTCCCTGTATGAAGTTTCAAAGCGCGCAACTTTATAGTTTTTAAGGAATTTGTTATTAAAGTTTGTAATTTTAACCAACTTCTATGGCACTATTTTACAATATATAATGCACTTTCCTCTACATTTACACGTTATTTACACTCAATATATGCCCAGTTAGAGTGTGCACGTTCAAACAAATAAATACTTTTAGTATATTACAGTTTTTTTTATCAAAAATTGATTATTGGTTAATTATTATGAGAGTACATGCAGAATATGTGACAAATACTTTTAAATACTTTTAGTATATTACATCTTTTTATACCCGAGCGCACTTGTGCACAAGGGTATTATAACTTTGTTCACATAACGGTTGTTTGTAACAGGCAAAACGAATCGAGATAGATATAGACAAATGTATACATAAATGATCAGAATGAAAAGAGAAATCGGCTAAGCGGTGACTGTCTGTCCGTCCGTCTGTGCACACGATAACTCGAGTAAAAATTGAGATATCTTAACGAAACTTGGTACATGCACTTCTTTTGGGCGTAGGACGGATGGTATTGAAAATGGGCGAAATCGGACAATAACCACGCCTACCTCCCATATAACGGTAATTTTCAGAAATACGAAAACTGCGATATTTTAGTAACTACTGAAGATAATTGACTCAAAATTGACATTTAGAATAACTTTTAGACGAAAAATAAGAAAATTAAAAGTTTTTGGAAAATGGGCGTAGCCACGCCCACTTATAGTTACATGTGTATATCTGGTAACCGCTGCACCAATTTCTTCCAAACTTTGCACAGTTGTTGGCCTTGACATCACCTACGAAATGACCGAAAATTTTTAAAATCGGACAATGACCACGCCCACATCCCATATAACGGTAATTTAGAGAAATACGAAATCTTCGATAAATCGGTAAATATTGAAGCTAGTGTATTCAAAATTGATGCTTGCAACAATTATTTAACAAGAAGTAGGTTTATGATAAAATTTTGGAAAATGGGCGTGGCACCGCCCACTTATGATCACATATATGTATCTCGCTAACCGTTCTAGCAATTTGTATCAAACTCGGTATGGTTATTGTGCTTGCCACACAAAGGCAAACTCTTGAAAATTGTTGAAATCGGACTAAAATTACGGCCGCTTTTCATATAACGGCAAATTTCAGATATGCTT